ATTTTTGAAACAATTTGGAAACTTTACAGTCTAACTGCTCTGGATGATTTAACCGTTTCGTCTTTCATATGAACTTGTATAATTGTTTTTATAAAAAAATATGCTGTTAAGTACATAAGTGTGATGGATGGTAAAATTACTCAAACTGTGCTTTTATGGCACGAAGCTTAACGACTCACTTCTAGAGTAAATATTTTACATTCCTGTGTAATATAGATAAAATACATTTTTGATATGCAGTTTCCTTAAGAACATTTCTACATAACAGAAATGACTCATGATGCATTCAATGAGCACAAATGCATCAGAGCACAGAGATATCAGCTCATCACAGTTGGACGTAAATGGCAACCAAAGGATGGCAAAGCTACCAGACCATCACACTACCACTGCCATGCTTGACTATAGTTAAGGTGTCACTTTCTGAAATGATGCTGCTTTTTCTTTTTGCATTAAAAAATATCCTCTTTTCTCTTTTGAGTCAACTTAATATTTTTCCAAAAGTGTGAAGAATCAGCAACATAGTTTTTGGCCTTTATGATTTTGTTGGCTTTCACATTGGTATTTTCTCAGGGATGCAGATTTTCCCAGACTTTTCCATGTTTTTTTGAATCATGAACAGTATCCTTAGCTGAGAAAAGTTATCCCTGCAGTGCTTTAGATGATGCTGTGGATTCTTTTGTGGCCTCCTAGATGAAAGGTTTATTACTGTTCCAGGTTTTCACTATTTGTAGCTAATGACTCTGGCTGTGGTATGCTGCAGTCACAAAGCATTGAAACTCTTTTCAAACTCATAGAAGTAAATTACTTTGTGTCTCTTCTGTTGTGGAATTTCTTCAGATTGAGGATGTGTTGCTTTTCAGTAAAGTTTATTTTCACCCACAAGTCATGAAGAGATGAGCTCATCATGAACAGTACTAGTATGACCTGGGGAGGTATTGAAAACAAATCAAATCTGGTTAATCACAGTAAATTCATGATTTAACAAGTGAGCAGTAATATTGTCACATTGGGCTAAGTTGGTCTGTTTGAAAAACTGCTTTCAGGTTTTACTCAGGTTGTCTTTATCTGATAATAAAGTCTCTTTCTTGACATTATATTAATATAATGTCAGGAAAGAAGCTGTTAGAAAGTCAAAAGTGTCTGCACTGAAAAGTAAAAACTGTATTCTTGGCATTAGTGATTACAGAGCACAGGTTTGATATTTAGCACTGTTTAAGTTGTAATTTATTGATTTTGTACAGTGATTGTATATTGAGGCTTTCAGCATATGCTTTAAAAGATTAGACTGTTTTTCCTGATCAGGGACTACAAATGGACACTAGCTTAAGCTAAATCTGGTGCAAAACATCTTTTGTTAACGTCTTTTTCATATCGTCCCTTAAACACATGAATAAACTAACTTGAGGCCACGAGTGTGGCAAAAAAAAAATTAAAAAAAATGGCAAAAACAGACGAAATCTGTAAAAGTTAAAATTCTTTGCAACTTTTTTCTTTGGTTTAAAGGGGCAGGATTATGTAACGTCCAGGCACATGTAGCATAATAAAGTAACTATGTTACCTTCAGTTGCCATAAAAGTGCAGCATTTAGACACCTGAATGGTTGCCATGGGAGACTAAAGGGTTTCTCAGACATGCATGAAAGAATCAAAGTAACACTCCAGGTATGCTTTTTGATGAGGGGAATAGCATTATAACATTATACAAAGCTCTAAAAGGTTGATTTTACATAATGCTCCCCCTTTAAATTGTGTTTTAGGTTCATTTTGTTTTTAAAACATCCCCTTGGTTAATTACCTCATTGCATAATTACTTAACATTCATCACCTAGAAACCCATCCACTTGTCATAAGTGTTGAAAATTACTTCATTTTTCTTTCCATAAGGGCACTGGGAGAGTAAGATTGAAACCATACTTCCAAATTAGCATTAATGAAGTGAGTTATACAAAGCGGCTAGCTCTCAAAAGACATACAGCATCAAGTGACATAAGGAGGTGAGAGGGAGGCATGTATTAACACACAAGGAACTTCCTCGACACTTTTTAATTGCCACCTTAACCCCTGGGGTCAGAGCCATTTAGTGTCTACAAAATCATGACAAGAAGATGGCAGAGAAGGAGAAAATCCAGGGTGCACACTGCATCAACCTCACTTATGCTGTTTATCCTCTGACACCATGTTCCCTATAGTACTTTGCCAATAAACCACTAAAACTCCCCCAAGACTCCTTGTATACATGACAAGCCTGCTCTGCTGTTATAACCCTTCTCACTTGGCTGGTAAGTGCAGTTCTTAATTGCCAACTTATGTCATTTGGGCAAACTTTGGAGCTATAACCACAGGCATCACTGGTTGCAGAGAGTGCATTGCATAACATAAACGCAGTCATAAAACACAATAAATGGCTTTTTGCTCTGGGGATTTCACTTGAGGCAGAGGTGTTTCATAGGAACAATGCAGTAGTTTAAGGATGAAGGATAAAATGAAGGTTTTAAAGGACTTTTTTCATCAGTAAGTAACAGACTTTTTCAAAAAAAAAGTTATTCTAGTCCTTTAGATACCCCCTATAGCTTGGCATAATAAAAAAAAAGAAAGCCTTAAGTAGACCTTGCTTCCAAAAAGGAAAATTACTTTGTCAGAATCCTTTAACAAGGGGACAGCAACGATCTACTTGTACATCTACATAATGTGTTATTTTCTATAACTTATCTAAAATGAATCATTTGCGGGGTTAAAATTATGGAAAAAAAACAACAAAACTGTAGTTTCCTGACGATGTTTCTCTCTGGCCTTGTAAAACCATTGGAGCTACGGTTGCGTTTAAACTTTATGACAAAGAATTTCTAAAGCATTTACCAACTGTGGAGAGGGTCACTCATTCTGTTGTAGAAATGCAGTACATTACATTACAGAGTATTTATATAGTTATGTAAAGTTATCTATTTGCACTCAATTAATACCTCATGACCAACTCCCAATCAGCAATCGCACAGTTGCACAAAAAAAAATAAATAAATAAAATAAATAAATAAAAAAAACTTGTTTGAAATTCTAGTTTCCCCCCATTAGAGTATCACAAGGTTGAAACAGGACCATGAGCCAAATTTATCTGAAGTGTCTCGTTCCTCTCATACTCAGACGAGGAGCGTCTCCCCACTTCTGGGGTTTTCCTCCTTCTTCTTTGCAGTTGCAGATTCAAAAGTTCAATGTGTTGAAGTACAGTATGAGCAGACTGCATCTGAACATCAGAGTTATACAGTGAGAGAACAGGATTCGATGAGTTATGGAACCCTGGGATGTAGCTGTGCAGTTTGAGCTGGAGCTTCATACAACTGCTGGAAGTATTGTGCAGTGTATGCTCAGCTTCACCAAACTAATTGAGGTTTGCACCGGGAAGGCTCCTTTGAAATATTAATGATGCTTTAATCATGTGCACCTGATGTGAAATGCCAATTTGTGATGATGGCTTCTTCAGTTCTGATTTATGTCCTGCATGAAAATTTACACAAGCTTGGTGGAAATGATGAGGGTGAAAGGGCTCCAGAAAACCCTTGTGTACTGGAAAAGCTTTCTTGTTAGTCGAAACTCCAGTAGATTTGGACAAAGATAAACCATTAGACTGAATTGTTTTACTGGGAAAAATACTCTAATATTCAGAAATCAATACTTTGTTACCACATAAGAATTGTTGCACATATAGTTTCAAAGATCTGTGAGGAAAACATTCAGATATTAACATGGTTTTTCAAGGTTGCTCTGACAGTCTGTGCTGTCATCTGGGTTTTGTACTGCATCATTTCCAATCAACTGTGTGAAATGATTGAAAAATAAAAACAGCACAGTTTTTAAAGACAATTACCTCTTCAATCTCAAGGCAATCAAGAGCCCTGTTCATCAGTTCAACATATTCAATTTCTCTTTAGACCAGAAAATGATTACACCAGAATAGTCATCACATCGAAATGCTTCGGGGAAATATTCCAGTAACGGAGTTGTCATTCCACTGAAGGATAATATTTGACCCTGTCTAATTAAGGCTAATTTAAATTGGAAAGTTACAAAAGAGTCCAAACTACCATGTGAACAGAAACGTGATGTTTAAAACGGGTAGTTATACTGTGGGAATTCAGACGATTTGCCATTCATCCCTGTTTGTTGTTACTTCTGGACAGTTCAGCAGACCGTGATATTTTCTTAAACTAAATGTCATGAAATAATTCAAGCATAAAATGTCAGACTAATTCAGGACACAAGCACAAAATATGAGCTTGCGCTGTGCTGGCTTGAACCCCATGGGAACCAGTTATTAAAGCAAGAAGGTGGGCCACTGAAATGATGGAAGAAAAAATGTCTGCAAGTATACCTCAGATTGATTTTTACAACATAAAAGAAGGTTTTAATCTCTGTTTCTCAAATATTCTTCAAGCAATATCTGTGGTTTAGTTTTATTTTGATGTTTGAAGTAACCCTCAAGAAATCCAGTGAGATTTGTATGGACTGTTTTTAAAAGGGTGGTATTATGTATTTTCCAGACACATAATGCCATTTAGCATAATCAAATAACTATTACCTTGAGTTATAAAAATGCTGGCTATATCCAACATGATATAGAAGAAATTTGGCTTTTTAATTTGGCGCAATTTTAATGCGTCTTTGTCAAACATGCATGACATATTCAAAGCAGCACTACAAGTATGTTTCCGATGAGGGAATAACATTATAGAATAACATGCTTAAAAAGTTGATATTACGTAATCTTCCCCTAAAAGAAAAAGGTCCATAAGCAGTACAATTAAAAGCTTTACACATATCTCATACAAGAAATCTCTGAAACAAGATATTAAATGAAAAAGCTGCAGAAGACGGTAGGGCAGTGAGGAAATACAGAGGACAAAGGCGGCAACTTCAGACCACACTGTAAAAGATCACTGAGCGTTGCGTAGGCAGGCTGGCTCATTTACCACTGCATGCGAGTTAACCATCTGGTGTCTGTCTCAGGGAAACCGCTCCTCTAAATACTGCTTCTTGATTGCATCTGATTGGTGCCAGCTGGAGGCTTCACCTGCCTGTACACCCGACAAGTAAGGTAGGAATATAACAGTCACACAGCCACATGGATATAATGGTTCGCCAGTTTGTTTGTCAGACTGTCAATAATCCTTCAATTCATGGGAGTTGTGAAACATTTTTTTTAGCCTGTGCATGTGCTTTTGAGAATATGTAAATTTTATAAAACGCCAAAACTTGATTAAAAAGTGTGCAAAAATTCTTCTGCTGGTTTTTCATATCGGTCTCCATTTTTCAGTCATTATGCTTTAACGAACTAATGAAAGAGGATTTTTCTCATACAATGTAGCGATAAACATTACTTTGTTTTTTAATATTGCTATGACCGTATTGATCACTATCAGCAGATGAGGGATCCACACAAAAGGTTAATGTCTTGATAGCCAAACACAGAAAATGGAGGACTTAACAGTTTGTTGGATGAAAAAAACAAACGCAGAAAAGGACTTTGTAATCACTAATCACATCTTTCCCAAAATAGTCAAGTAGCTTCTGATTAACATCTTTTGTCTGGCAAGGAATACCAAAAAAGTCAAAAGAATATTTAAAAGAAATGTTCATCCAGTTAAGAAAAGTAGAAAATGAATTTGCAAATACAAAGAAATGTAACGAATGAATACTTGGATTTTGTTTAATTCTGGTGAATAAGTATATGTTTGTGGTTAAAGGTTAAAGCACTCTGAGTGGTCGGTATGGTTAGAAAAGTGCAGTGTAAATTCAGTCAATTTTCCATTTATTAATTATTATATGAACCCTGGTTTACCATTACATTAAGTGATATGGGGCTGTAAATATTTCACCGGGTCAGGAACAGCAGTGGATTGACTTCAATCCCCATCCATGCACAGGCATCCTCTCCCAAAACACACAAAGATGGTGAAAAGGCATTTAAAACTAAAATGTAATAACTCCTACCATCCAACCACTAAAATAACACTTTCTGTGTCGCAAGTATAAGCATAGACCATTTTAATTGTTTAAGTTATGTTGCGTTTGAAAAAAATAATAAAAGACTAGTTATATTCTAGGCTTCTTTTCATTTAAAACAAAATGACGGGAAGAACCACTATCAGACATGTTTCCATTCTCATAAAGTATTCAATCTTTTTTCCCCCCCAGCTTCACTGGAGGCACATGAAAAGGAACTTGGACAAAGTAAAAGCTTAGTTTCTGCATGTTTTTAGCAAACTAGGGCATGCTGCTCCCAAAACAGCCGATATGCCAGTCTGGTCTGATTTCCCTAGGGATAACTAGGCTATCATATCACCTACCACTTTTATTCAGATCCTTCCCACTTCAATTTCTTTTTGGCCACAAACAGGTTGAGATCCCTGGTTTGTGAGCTTAGAAAACATTCTTTTAAACCTAAAATAATGGCGCTGAAGAAAATGTCTCCATCTCAGATGCCGAACATTATCAGCAGGATGGGCTTCGCGGTTTATCTGACAAGAATAATTACTTTGCTCTTCTTACTCAGAAGTAAAAAGAGGAAGAAAATTAAATTGATATAGAAGTGTGTTGCATTTAGCTTCTCAATTGACCTGTAAAGACAGCTCTTTAATTCACTCTTCAGCCTTTATTCACTGAAACCACAAGCTATATATAAAAAAAATAAGAGTTCATGGAGTATCCTTTAATGTTTGCCAGTTTTCTGAAAATCAAATAAATATAAAAAAGAATTATACAGCTGTATAGGATCTTTCTGCTGCATGCAGTTTGCATGTTTTCCCCAGCATGCGTGGGTTCTCTCTGGATATTCCATCTTCCTCCCACAGACCAAAACATGTCAGTAAAACTAATTGGTCTCTCTAAATTGCTCTTTGTTATGAGTGTATGGTTGTTTGTCCAGTGAATCTCCACGTTGCCTGGTAATGGGTGTACCCTGCCTCCCACCCAATGACTGACTGAGACAGGCACCAGCCTCTCGATGACACTGCAAAGACAAGAAGCGGGTATAACGAATGGATTGGTATAGACCTGAAAACACGACAGAAACCTCCTTTTATATCAATCAATCAATCAAATTTTATTTGTATAGCACATTTCAGCAGCAAGGCATTTCGAGGTGCTTTACATAATTAAAGAAAAAAATAAGAACAGCATGTGACATTGAATAAACAGGGGGAAAGAGAAGAAAAAGATTTTTAAAAAAAAGATAAAATAGTGCTTATAGTGCTTTGCAATGCTGCAATAATTAGAATTGAAATTTGCTCATTAAAGTGACATCCATATGACATAGGAAATTTAAAAAATACTATACAGTGTGTTGTTTTTATTAACAAATATACAGTGTCAGTAAAAACCCAACTATATAGTAAAGTTTGGATTTTATTATGTTTTTAAAAAGCTGTACTCCACTTGTATCGTTAAATAGCTTGGTGGTTTGCCAGAACAATGGCGTTCCCTTATAGTCTTGACGACTGCTATATAAGCTTAACCAAACAACTATTCATTTTTTACTGAAAAACAGACAGAATCCCTTTCTGTCTTCTTCTTTCTGCCAGTGTTGAGAAAATTAATTGCACTGATATAGTGTAGACTCTACTGCAGGTGCATGCATGGTGAAGCGAAGTGGAAGGACTGTGTTGGTTATAATCTGCCTGCCTGGATATTATTTTCTCTGTAAGCACAAAATAATGCATCCGTTCAACAGGAAACATCACTGTGACTTGAAAGCTACCCTGGAGGAAGATATTGACCAGACGTTAGGGTTTTAAAAACAGTTTGACTCAAAATGACAGCTGAAAATGTTTCAAAGTGAAATTATTATATTCCTTCTTGCTATTGTCCTCCTTCTAAACTTCCTACGTGTATTTTAAAGCTGCTGAATTTGTTAAATTCAGAATCTCCGTCTGTTGTTTAATAGTAAAAGTATCAAGGAGCAGAGCAGCGAAACATTAGTTGTGTAAGGGTAAGCTGAAAACACGGGGGAACTGTAGTAACCAATAAACAGAGCTTTCTTTCCGAAACATGTCCAGTCCTGGATTGAAAGGACCAGGCTTAAAACCACTCTGGAGGACTTTGGGGAAAAAAGCCTAAAGAATTATTGCTCAGTCACACTTTAACATATTGCAAAACAACTTTAGCACCTTGGAAGTAAAATATATAGAAGGAAGAAAAAGTGGAAGACTTTTTCTCATTGAAGCATTCTATTATTCATCTCAGAGAGGGATATTATCCCTATCCAAAATATCAAAACAAAGAAAAAAAAAGCAACACAACCTCCAGTTCTGTATGTCCCGATTTGTTGCTGCCCTGGCATCTGAAACAAAACCGTGCAGCAAAATTTGTATTTGCATATTTGCTGACCTTATAGGACAAGAATTCCTTACTGAGGACCAAGTAATTCATAAACTGTCAGAAAAAAATGAGTGTCCACTGCCAAGAAGGTTCTTATTAAAACTGCTCTGTAAATCAAGCATGGACAAGTCCTGGCCTTATTACATTGAGGTTTTAATAAAGCTGTCAATTCTTAAGATTGCGCTAGTGACCTCTTTTTATATGAGCCACTTTAATGTTCTCTTGGGATGTGTTTCTGAAGCTTCATAAAGCCGGCACCAAATCATCACACTTAATCAAACACCTATAACCTTCCCCCTCAACTCCAAATTCATGATGTTTATAAACACAACATATTCCCAACTGTTTCACAGTACAAGATACAACACTGACAAGTGAGCAGCATCTGCTGGGGAGAAAACAAATTTACTACAGCAATAAATTCTGTGGGATAGTCTCAATTTAAAAATGTGATAAGACAAAGGTGACAACCAACCCCTTGCAGACAAATCTGAACAAACTACTATAATGACATCGTTGGTCAATTATGCTTCAGGTGAAAAGCCAGTTCACGATAGGATCATTATATACTCTCACACTTTTTGACGATTTGTGTCCGATATAAGATACTTTAACTAATATTAGTGTTCAAATCTGGATCAGTCTCATTGGAGATCAAGAAAAGTAATTCCACATGAAGCAAGAATTATAACATTTTTACAATGAGTTGATAACTTCATATAAAAAGAAGGGGACATTTAATTTATTAGAAGTTGTTCATCCATCCACCCATCCATTGTTTTTACCTGCTTGTCCTTGCGGGGCTGCAGTGGGTTGGTGCTACAATGCTTTCTCAGGCAAAGTACTTAAAGTTATATTTTTGAAAACAAGATTGCGATTATGGTCCATGCTCCTATTCCCACTAAAGGAAGGTTTTACAGAGGCAGATGTTATGCAGGGACGAGCCAATCGAGTTCTTACAGCAAAGAGAGAACAGAGAGCAAATGAATATATCCCCCGAACTGAAAAATTAAACAAACTGGATAATGAAGCTGAAGTAACACACACACATCAGTTAAAAAAAAAAAAATCTTTCTTTATCTCCCCTGATGGTTCGCAAATCATTTGCCAACAGCTAGCCTCAAACAGCCAGCATGAATGATTTGCAACTGAGACTAATCTGCTGTAAAAAATAAACGATGTTCTGAATGTTTTTTTTTAGGTATTCTGACTGCGAACAAAGTTAGAGCTGCAGAAACCCTTTAAAGGTCGTCATGTGTCTCAGTTGCATCCAACCAACCAACCAACCAAACAAAGGTGCTTTTCCACTGGTGTGCCTCTAACCAATATGGCCCTGTGCCACCCAGATTTATTTTCTATTGCCAGATCCAACGTGGCTCTGAGTATCTGTCCTCATATTTTCGTATCCATCTCAGGGGCAGTACTATCTGCACTGAGCCAAATATTTAGTGGAAGCAATTTCATTGCCATCTGACCGCATTTGTTGATTGGCTTGTGATTTACATCATGGAAAACTCCAAAGTTCAGCTACTTACTAAGTTTAACCAAGCCACAGAGACAGTTAATTTTACTCCTTTGCATTTACCATTTCTTTCCTACTGCTAGGTTTCAGATTCATATGACTAAAGAACTTTTAAAAGAAGCTGAACATTGGCTTAACTTCCTAGTTAGACAAACTAGCAACTCAAGTTTGTCTTTCCCTCGACAAACTTGAGTAGCACCTGCATAATAATCCAGATGCATAGACTGGACTCTGGCCTGAAGGAAGCTGTCGACTTTTTAAATAAAAGTATTGGTACTCACACTTTGTTCCAGGTCCTACTGAGTTTATAACATGCTGTACCATGCAACATTTGCTCAGTGTATGATCTTTTTTTTCCTGGTTGGCCTCCAGTCTTCAGATACTTTGGGTTCTAACCATTTATAACATTGTGTAAATACTTCCAGATTTCAAACTAATTTAGGTATTTTGGTTCAGATGGTTGCTTTATTACCCTGGTTACGTGAGGTAAAATGTGCATTACTGTACAGAGAGACTAAATATTGTGCCATCACTTGATCCTTGGTAATGCAAACAGATATACAGCAACCTTACAGTGAAAGCAAATAGCAAGACATGAACCTTCAGTGCAGACACACCAAATGGCAGTATGTCTGTATGTGGAACAGGTCTATTTCATAATTCTCCCTGAAATTGGAGGCAACATTAACAAAACTGTTGAGGTATGAAAGGTTTAAGGGGAAATGACCAGCTCCCATCTTTGTTTGTTCAACTTGAGTGTGAATCAAATTCCAGCGTCATCATCACTCTGGAGAGGTTGTGAATTTTTAAGAGCCAGTGTAAAGATTTTGTGGGTCTTGACCAAAGATCCCGAGTTAAAAAGGGGGGTTTATGAGTGATGCATTGATCCTAATAATTCCCGGATGCAAGGGAGAAACAAAGAACTAGTGCCTCAGATCAAAGACCTCCGAATGGGCCACTGTCGGCCCGCAAGCTGAATGCTTGAGCCCCCTGCTGCAGAGTATCTGAGAAAGCTCAGAACTCGCATCCATGCTGTTGCCCCTTTTTTGTTCACTAGGATTTCCAACTTCTGGAAATTGTAATGGGGGGGAAAACTTCCAGCCAATCATATTTGTTTTGTTTCGTTTGAAATCAATTAAAAGAGTCAGTATATAGAAAAGTAAAGAAAATAAAATTGACATGAATTTAGTACGATTTTTATTTTGAATTAAGAGGAATTTATGGGTTATTCGTCATGTTTTTGTTGTGGACTCAAATGATGGTAAGAAAATTGCATTCTCATGCAAAAGACACTTAATGATAAATGATAAATGAAACTGATGAATCACACGAGAACCATAGATTGACATTATTTGATTAGAAAAAACTTATTTTTGTTTTATGTATTTTTTTTACCTAGCTGTTCTAATTTTACCCATGAAATGCATCTAAAATAATGTTAAATAGATTCTATTTTGACTGATTATAAAGCTGCTTGCTACCATCTGATCAATTTTTTTTTTGCCAAAAGTAGAAGATGCGACATTGCCAATAAATGACAGTGTTTATCACCTGTCAGACTGACTGTTTTTAGACGTCTTGTTGACTCTGCTCTTGCTCCCTGTCCTCTCTAAGTGCCACTTTTTCTGGGGATTTTCAGTAGCATGTTTAATGTTAATCTTTCCTCAATAAAATAATAAGAACTAATGTTGTTAAACCTTTTGTGCACCTTGACTTGCGCTGCCTCTTCAATAACAAGTTTAAAATGGACATGGTGGGTCTATTAGAAGATAGTGATGACCGACAACACTCGGTTACAATATGCACCGTCCCTCTCACCAGTCCTCAGGTCACAGCAGCAGAGAGAAGCAGCAGAGGAAGGATGGTCCAGAGCACCAAAGACCAGCACCCGGTCTTTTTATTCAAGGAAAGTGAGGTCCACTTTTGTGGGGAGCTTTATAGTCAGAAAAGTTTTTTTTTTTTTCTTTTTTTTTTCTTTTCGTTTTTTTAAATTAAAGTCTAAAACTCTTGTAGTGAGATACAAAAAAAGAGATGTCTCCATCACTGCAAACTTGCATAAACTCTGATTCTTGTCGGAAAATTCTAATTATAAAGAAAATGCCAAACCTCTCAACGCAAATAAAGGAGAAGATGACAAAAAGAAATGGTCATCTTTTAAAATTTACATGTTGAACAAACACATGAGAAATAATGTAATGCTACCACTTTAGAATAGACCAAACAGATATTAAACTACAAGTAAAATATATGAACTCATCATGATTTATGAATCCCTTTTACAAGATTCTTTAGATGTCAGTGTTCATGTTGTAATCTTCTTTTAGTATTTTATTGAATGCCAAACTTGGTAGCAGAAGATAAGAAAATGAATCCTTCTGGACCCTGCAGTTGTGGATGTCACAGAAAATCTGGTCAAGTCTGCATATCACAGAGTTCCTGTTCAGCCTGGTTAAAAAATGCAGAGAAAGAATATTTAAAGACGGGATGCTGATCTCTACTGAATGAATCTGTAGAGCAAAACGGAGAACAGAATTTCAAATACTTTGCAAATCTAAACATCATATTTAGATGTATTTCTGAATCATATCACGCCTTGAGTTGAAACATAATTTCTTGTATGCTATAAGTCATATGTGACACTTTATGCTCAGAATAACAAAAGGCTTACATTTGTACAAAAGAAATAGTCTATACTCTGCAGGCCTTCATGCTGTTACAAACCTTCACTGTGGTAAAAACCTCCTGGCTGAAATCGTACAGTCAGATTCTGTTAAGCCCTGCGCACAGAATGATGACCACATCCTGAAAGTCTCCCAAAAGCCTCCCTTCTGGTGGGTTTGAAAAATACAACAGATGGGTGAATAGGCAATGATTGTTGCAGGGGTGGCCCTGTGGAAATGTGCCGTGTGACGGGGAGGGTCAGAGGACACAGAGAGACTGACTTTCCATTGCTCTGTGGAACATCGATGCCAGCAATGATGAGAAGCTACTGTCAGACTCTCTGTGTCTCAAGAAATCTGGGGGAACTTTGACAGTCACTCGAAGGAAATTCATGGCCCATTGAGAGAGTAACTGTGGCTGAGGGAAGCTGCACTACTACAAGGGGTTTTTCTGTACATTTCATCAGGGGAGTGTTAGCCTTGGTGTAGCCATCCACTCGTCCCATTCACCCATTTTTAATCCTTGCTGCAGTATATAGGCCTGAAATGTTTCTTGCAATTTTTCCCCCTGCCTGACTTTACATTTTTTCACAGTTTTTCCAAATGTTGATAAATGGCTTTCTCCATCTGTAATGCAGGTTCAGGTTGCTCTTCTGGATGGCTCCATCTGAAATATTGACTCCCTGGGAATGTTTTCCACCTGTTCTAATCCACATACCATTTTTTTTTCTGCAGGTGAAAGCACCCAAAAAGCTGTGCTACCTCAGCACCAACGCTTAGCTGGACTGGAAAATGGAACAGAGGAAAACCAATTAAAATGCTGTTAGCTCCAAGTTTAAAACTTCCAAGTTGGTTTCACTTTTGGCTGCCTAATTAAAGACAAAAACAACACTGAACTTCAACTTTCATCAAAATGTGGATCAAACGTGAAATAACATGACCTCATAGTTTGTTTTTTTTTGTCCTCCCACTGATAGCAAAAGTAAATCAACACGGTGAATAGAACCGACCTGATAGTCACCGATTTGAACTGGAGTTTGAAACAATGCCTACAGCTTCACTTGTTTTAAACACAGTGTGGTATTTGATTATCATCAGCTTGTTTGTATGCTTGAAACATTATCTGTACCTCCATATTGCCATTGGCATTAACAGCAACAATATAGGCTTGAGTTGCAATGAGCCTTGCAGAGCAGTATGCTATGAAAACGTTTGTCATGAATCTGAATGCAGATTATAGCAAGAGGATGACTATGAATTATATTAATAAACTAACTCCCAACACACCGATCATCGGAAGAAACTGAATACAAAACAGATTTTAAATTATAGAAATTTTTAATGTAAAAAATGTTTCGAGTGATACAGCCCTGGGTTATCTCTAAAGGCAACTAAACCAGATAGGCCCTTCATGTTTTTTTTATTATGCCAGAAACTATCTGAAACTGCTTTAGCAGATAAACCCTACCTGACCCTTTCACAGTCATCTGCAGGGTCATCACCACCAATTGGTGCACATCCCCAACTTGCTAATGAGGGGTGGTGACACTGAGAACAAAGTAAATGATCTTTTTAAATAAAATACTTCCTGTTCTGTTTTTTTTTTAATAAATTCTACATTTATTCCCCTTATTACAGTGTCTCGCTCATTATTTTCTAATTTATAGCACCGCTTGTCATGATCTATGGGTGTTTGTGTTTTACACCATTTGTTTAGGATCATTCTATTATTTTTGCCCCTTAGATCTTGCTGTTTTTCTTTTCTCGTCTGTTAGCTATTTTCAGTTTTTATTTTTATTTGAGGCTTCACATAGCAAGATAATTGTACAGATTTTTGATTCAGTCTTCCTCTTCAGACAATCTTAAGGATGCTCTGATTATTGTGATGGCTCTGAAGATTATCTTATGAGATATTCCTGCTATGTCTGGTCTACAAAGAGTGACCTCAGCTGCTCGGAATAACATTTGGACCGTTCCAACTTCAAATCAACACACATCTTGGCTTTTTTATTGTCTGAAGTACTGAACCCCTACACAATTAACAACCCTCTCTCAGGTTAACACACAACCAGCTCTCCATCCAGTGGGTAGGGGTGGGGTTTCGGGTGGGGTAGGGGGTTGTGGCTCGGGCCTAGAGGGGAATCCAAGCTTCTGATGAGAGCTGGAGAAGGCGGGTTCTCTCCTGTTGTATGTAGAATTATATAATATGTTGCCCCAATAGTAGTAGGGTGTCCCAGTCATTGTTGCTAAAAACTTTACAAGACCGACTGATTTTCGTGACATAGTGGGTGTAAAATATTGAATAAAATGTTGTGATACATGACTGGCGCTATTTTTACTCTTACATTTAACTTTATGACACGTAAAATTACAAGAGGATTGCCAACTTTGTCTCAAAGTGTATTCTGGGTAAAACTTGTGACCAGCCGTCCACCAACGTCATCATCAGTCACTTGGCAACAGATGGCAAACTAGGTAGAGCATTCTTACGGACTAGCATGAGTGGAGCTCCATGGAGCGGCAAAGTGAAAAGGATGGAAAAAAAGAAAGGAAAGAAAAGCCAAAAACTGGACGCATATTTTGTCTTGGAGATGAACCAGACTTTTTTTGTTTGCAGCGATTCGGACCCGCCAAAACTGCCAGCCCAGCGATGGAGCCAGACTAGTCACAGGTAGCAACTCTAACATTACTCACAATGTGTGAGTTAACTGTAGACTGTAAATTGTATCAGCCGAGCCGCCTGGCTTACACCCCCTCTTTTCTGTCGGTGGTACAACGATGATGTCGGGGACTGAAGGCTGAGTTATAGTCGCGTTTTGACAATTCGGGTTGAGCGGGTGCGAGCCAAGACAGCAGTATGGCATTTATAGTTAAGGTTTACATTAGAGCCGCCTGAGAGAGCATCGTCCAGTTTGTGTGAACGGCGGCGCGTGCGATCCGCGCCGAGCTACAAAGATCTTGAGGTGCACGAGGTGCTACGACAGGCTGCGCATGCGGCGCATGGGGCGCGTGCCTCTGCGTGTCCGCTTCAACGCGGGTAGGATATCCATTTAAAATATGAGCTTGCAACCTGTTGATGTGATGTGTTGCCAATCAAAAAACAAAGTGACACAAACATGGAGGGAAATCCAAGATACAAAGAAGACAAAATAACTTAAAAACTATAAGCATTGCTCATTGCTAGTCGACCATGTTTGTTTACTCTGAACTCACATTTGATCTTGAGAGGTTTTTGAGATTCAAGTCTGACATCCGAATGTTCCTGAGTGAAATTTGTCGATGTGGACTTGCCATTTGGCTGTTCATCACACAATGTTCGACCAAACATGGCATATGTATGATTTTCAATTCATTGTTTTATTGTTTTTCAACTAATTTAAACACGCTACAGCACTGGAAATAGGTAATGTGTGAAATCATTTTATAGTTACAAAAGAGAAGATGCATAGCAAAACTTTACTGGGTTTAAACTTTATATTGGTTTCCTTAAAGAAATAGAAGAATACTTCTATTACTTCTATAATTGAGAAGATTCTAATTTTCCAGGGAATAACATGTTTCAATTTGAATGTTAAAATTACCCACAGGGTAAGATTGACATTCACGAAACAATGAAAAGTTCTGCAAAATGTCTTTTTTAAACTTTTGCTATTGTATCAGTCATTGCCTGCTCATTTGTTTAAAGCATGCATAAAGTGCTAAATGTGAATGCTACTACTTACAAGTTCACTGAATAATTTTTAGATGGCTGCCTTGAATATCACTTTGGGTGCATCTTGAAGGGTTCTATGGCTGAAAACAATTCTGCTGTTTGAAAAAGGTTCATTAAGCAATTAGAATGTTTAGGGAAATTAATCTGCATCACTCTGCAAGCAAATGGTTGCTCCGTGGGGGTGTATTGGTGCTAGAACACTTGGAAAGATGATTTAATGTTTCCATTTGACTGCCGGTCTGCAACAATGTCACATTAATTGATTGAATCCATTCTGAACCGCTAACTCAATTGAAAACATTGTGTGCAGTGCAGCTGAACAGATCTTGGGAACAGATAGAAGGCTTGAGGCATCCCCTCATTTCCTGTGAGAGCATGTTCTGTCAGAGCATTTATTCTTTCTAATGGGTGTCTGACGATGATGCCTTCCACTCCCATATGCCTCACACAGGCTAAAAGGCTGACATGTGGGTGTTACCAGTCAGAGCCTCGAAGCTCAAACAGACATTTCTACATAATATGGTCAAGGAGTGAAAAAAAACTCAAGTTGTTCAGTCTTAAGGCATGTTGTGACTACATAGACCTTCTTTGGAAATCGTGGCAGTTTTCTGGGGCAATTGTTTAGCCCCTTCAATTTACATGATCTTTACCAGTATATATATTTACCAGTGACGTTCTTGTTGGGTTTGGATGTATTGCTATAACCATAAAACACCCAAAATAGAGTGTTACATTTCAATCTGGTCATTTAAAACATTTAGTTGTTTTAAAACACTTTAATTATACTTTACTCTACACCATCCAATACAAACGCAAGAAAAACAAAGAAGTTCATATAAGGTCACATTAGTCTTCTTAAAATTTTATTGTTAGGGTCTTTTTTGTGATCTTTCTTTTTTGTTAAAAGATAATCTTACTTTTCACTTGTATGTGAAGGCCATGTGCCATATATTTTCCACAATTTTCCATAAATTTTCTATCTCTCTGTGGTGAAAAAAAACTGGTTGCCTCAACGGAGATAATCACCAAAGAGGACAGCAAAACATTGCCATAGCATGATGCTGCCATCACCATGCTTCACTGTAGGGATGGCATTCGCCTGTCGTGGAGCCCTACTTAGTTTCCTCCAAAAACGACACCTAACACACAAATTAGTTCAATCTTTTTCTCATCAGACCGGAGAATTTTGTTTTATATGGTCAAAGAGTTCTTCAGGCACCTTCTGGCAAAATCTACATGACCTGCCATGTGACTTTCATTAGGGAGTGGCTTCCATCTCACCATTCAAGTGAGTGGATTGTTGCAGAGATTGTTGTCGTATTGGAAGGTTCTTCTGTGTCCCCACAGAGGAACACTGGACCTTTGACAGAATGACAATCAAGTTGATCAATCAGCGTGGCCCTCCTCCCCACATAGCTCAGTTTAGATGGCCAGAAGCTTTAGGAAGAGTATTGGTCTTTCCAAGTTTCTTCCATTTACCAATGATGGAGGGTAGAAAGCTCAATTACTTCAAACCAGCAGAAATGTTTTTGTATCTTTCCCCAGATTTGTGCCTCAAGACAATCCTGTCTTTGAGTTCTATAGACAATTCCATCGATTTCATGCCTGGTGTTACACGTGTTAGTACATGTGAACTAACGGGCGTGGTGATTTGTATCCAAATAGAAAAGACTGCAGGCATCCGTCCAAAGATGTAGCTTCTTTATTGTCACTCCAGTTACAATTCTTGATGCAAACAAACTGAGCAATCAGTAAACTTCAAACTTAAAACTCTTCTTTAATAATACAGTTGCTAGGCTGTTGAACTACTGCAAGAAAAACTACTACTGAAAAAAAAAGAAAAGAAAAAACCATTCTAGAAAGTTCTAACACATTAAGGCTCTGATAGGTTGCTGTCAACTATGATTGACAGGCTGATGGGCCAATCACAGTCCGGACAGGCCTACAGGGCACTGTACAGTGAACTAGTGGTGTTTTCCACAACATGTGTAATCAAACATCTCTATTGCCAATAAAAAGAGACAGCAATGGGCATGAGCAACTGCCTACGTCAGTCAGTGAGTGTGACACAACAACATAAGAGGTGAGGCACGGCTCTTAACTGCCTCGCCTCGTACTCCTCTCATGTATTTGACCAGGCAATGCATAAATTTAGCAATTTTGTCCATACAAATGTTGAAATCGTACAGAAAACAAATTTGCAGAACAGTCAAGAGGACAAATCGATTTTCTGTTTTCATTGTTAGTATTTTACTTGTCATGGTGACATGATGGCGCGCAGTCTTCACAAATGGACGTCACTAACATTCACTCCAGAAAAGCTCTTTGTAGGGAGGTAGTTTGACTGTTACTCAAACAGAGGAGGACAATGATGCTACCCCATACCCAACACCGCTGCTGTTCCTGTCATTAGTATGTTTGGGGATGTGATTTCCATCAAGGAACGTCTTGCTACAGCACAGCATCTCTAAAAACTGTTAAATTGTGTGAATCATTATTACTATATTAGTAATCCTACTTGGAAGTAATGACAGACTGTGGCTCCAGTCCGACCCATTTGCCTCAACAAAGAGCAAGGTCAGCTAATAGGTGTTATGCTTTAAGCTCTTCCTCGGTAAAGGGGTTAAAAAAGGCAGACAGTCCTAACAGCAAAATTATGTTTTCACACGCTGAGGTAAAGAACATGAGGCATAATTCATCAGATCAGACTTAAAGCACAATCATGGCAGTCCAGACTATTTCCGGTCAGAGACCAACGGCCTTTTATCAGACCATCCTGAGTAGCTGGAAGATGTATTGTCTGTGTGCAAACAATGCATCACTGCCCTTTGGACTTATGTCTGCCATAATTATAAAGGTACCTTTATATTTTCTTTACACTCCATTTTGTTCCAGGATCCATGAGCTCCCGCGAAGG